CAGTATAATTGAAACTCAAACAATTAACTCTAAGGGTGCTGCCCATTGCAAACATAAGCTAATAAAGTTAGATTTTTTAACTGAAAGATACAAGGATGCATCCAGTAGCAACACAACCCGACAAAGCAAGATTTTTAACTCAACACCCAAGGATGCATCCAGTAGTAACATAAACTGAAGAAGTAAGATTTTTTAACTGTCAGACACTAGGATGCACCCAGGAGTAACATAATGTAACAAAGTAAGATTTTTAACTCAACACCCATGGATTCATCCTGTAGTAACATAAGCTAACAAAGTAAGATTTTTCACTGACACTCACATGGATGTATCAAACAGTAACATAAACTGACGAAGTAAGGTTTTTTATCTGCTATTATACAATTTAAGTACACCCATTAAAGCAGCTCAAAATATGAGAATAGAGAGATACATGTAGCAAAATTTGTTTATATAAACAGCCAGTAGTTCAAAAATCAATGTTTCAAATATGTGAAACGAAAATAATACATAATTACTATGATGAAAATTATACTAGAATGAGTTAATATGTCTTGTGCCTTGGTACATTTGAATTAATTAAAAGTTATGATAGCTAGTTGCATGATACATTGTGTTTTAGTTGAAATGTTACGAGCAAACTAGGGGACATGGATTCCATGTAAGTCAGTGTACTGAAAACACTTGCAAAACAATATTTAAATTTAACTGTCTAATGTTTCCTGTGAATGCAAGCATCTGTTATTGGATAAGAATAATGAAAAGCACTCCTTATGGTTAAAAACATACTGCAAAAAATGTTCACTGGGGATGTTACGATTTTCTGTTAAAAGATCAGGGAATTGAGTGAAATTTACGTATACAGACTGTTGACTAGAGCTTGTAAGAGGTTAGGAACATTGTAAAACAGAGTTTTTATATTTAGCAGTATCATTGTTCACCACACCTCAAACATCAGCATCACTGTAGAACAGCATACAATAAATGTTATTACTGTTAACCAAGAGCTTGCACAAAAAGGTCAGTCTCACTGTAGAACAAGATGTGTATTCATCTCTATTGTTGTTGACCTCAGATTGTACGAATGGTCAGTCTCACTGTAAAACAATGTGTGTATTCATCTCTATCGTTGTTGACCTCAGATTGTACAAATGGTCAGTATCCCTGCAGAACAATGTGTATATTCATCTCTATCATTGTTGACCATAGCTTGTACAAGTGGTGAGTATCACTGTCGAATAATCTATGTACTCATTACTTTCACTGTTGACCAGAGTTTGTACAAGTGGTCTGTATAACCACCACCATCATTGTTGTCCAAAACTTGTACAAGACATCAGCATCATTGTAAAACAGTCTCATCACTATCACTGTTAACCACAGCTTGTACAAGCAGTCTTCATTACTGTAAAACAATCTGTATACTCATTTATCATCACTATTGACCACAGCTTGTACAATCAGTCAGCATCAATGTAGAACAATCAGTTTACTTATCACTTTTAATCAAAGTTTGTATAAGTGGTCAGCATCACTGCAGAATACAACAAGCCTGTATAGTCATTCCTATCAGTGGTGGCCAGAACTATATCTTTGGCATCCAGTTAGAATAGCTTGAATCACTACACAGTACATTGGTGTGTGTGTGTGTATGTATGTAGAGAAACACTCTTAAAAATAACAATGTAATGGTACAGCAAAACCTGTAAAAGTCAGTGTCCTTATCGGAGAAACACTGTAAAACAAAGATTATACAGCTAGTTAGTATTAAAGCATATTAGAGTTAATAGACTAAAACTATATGGTTGGTCAAAATCTCAGTTTTAAAGCAGAACTTGTATGAATGATAACTAATTATTTAAAAAAAATCTTTTATGGGTGTTTAGTTTTTCAGAACAGGAATCAACATAAAACTATGATTATATATTTCGCTATCTTGACAACAGAAACTAAGCTGTATGCATAGTTTGAGTTCTTTAATAATCTAAGCTTGTATTTAAAGCACTGTTCTATAACATTTTTTTTTTTATACGTGTGTCATGCATCACTGTTGACCACAGCTTGTGTAAATGGCCAGAAAAATTCTAGAACTAATTTTAAATGTATCGTGGATGGCATCATTATACAACAAAGCTGGAGCTTACTGAATGACTACACCTGGGTAACACTCTCAGGATCCAGTTGAACTGAAGTGTGTTTTTAAACTCGTAACATATGCATCGTGGAGTTTGTTAACAAAATCAGTATCCTTCTGGAATGGAAGAAAATTTATATGGTTATCTTATTACTATTACTTGAATATAAATAATTCAATGAAATACTTAAACACTCACTTAAGTTTTCCTAGACTATTACAGAATTAAAGTATTGTTTTATTAACTAAATAGCTTGATGAAGGTCTTTAATATTTGAAACTTATATGGTCTACTTTCATAAAAACCTGTGTACATGGAGTGCCATATGCTTTAAACACTTAGTGTCTCAACAATGTACAACTTTGAAAATTATAATCTGAAGTTATTTTGAAACAAAGGTTATGACATTTATTAATTATTTCCAAATAAATAAAAGAAACATTGTGATATTCAATATGTAAGCCAGTAGAAGGCTCAAAAAATTTGTGAAAACTTTTTAATTAATGTTATAATCAGTAAGTTCCTAAAGAAAACATGCTTAGTATTACAGACTCGTTACACCTTTCGACTGGATCTAGCATAAATGAGTGTCTAATTGTCATCCATGAGCTTGAAGTTGTCTTTTGTTTTAATAGGAACACTTGTTGTAAAAATAATGCAAACACAATACTAACTTTGAATGAAAATGTATAAGAACATAATTGTATGGCTTTTATACTGATTATTTCCATATCACTTACTTTTAACAAGTGCATCAATGCCCCTCTTAGCTGGTCTCGAGTTAAAACACTAACATTTTGTGGTAACTCATCCAGATCATCAAATTTTTTGGGGCTGCTCGCTCCCTGTGTGAAATGATTTGGAAGCAGAAGAACTGGATCTTCAATATTCCCTATAAGTAAACATCAAGTAACTCCTTTACTGCATATTGAAGACACGTGATAGCTTTGTAAGCATTCATTAGAACTATAACTTATACAGTAAACATCAAGTAACTCCTTTACTGCATATTGAAGACACATGATATCTTTGTAAGCATTCATTAGAACTATAATTTATACAGTAAACATCAAGTAACTCCTTTACTGCATATTGAAGACAGGTAATAGCTTTGTAAGTATTCATTAGAACTATAATTTATACAGTAAACATCAAGTAACTCCTTTAATGCATATTGAAGACACATGATAGCTTTGTAAGCATTCATTAGAACTATAATTTATACAGTAAACATCAAGTAACTCCTTTACTGCATATTGAAGACAGGTAATAGCTTTGTAAGTATTCATTAGAACTATAACTTACACAGTAAACATCAAGTAACTCCTTTACTGCATATTGAAGACAGATGATAGCTTTGCAAGTATTTATTAGAACTATAACTTATACAGTAAACACCAAGTAACTCCTTTACTGCATATTGAAGACACATGATAGCTTTGTAAGTATTCATTAGAACTATAACTTATACTTTGGAGAAAAAAAATCATTTTTGTCTACACAAAATGTATGGCAAGTTTAAAAATGTTTTTTGAGATGTGTATACATAAACTATAAACTATGCTCTCATAAACCTTTCCAATGTATTGATTTCTTCCACACTTGATACTGCTTTCTAGGGAGAATTAAAACTGTCTGATGGAAAAAAAAAGAAAAAAAAAGAGACTAACAGAAAACTAAATATTTGAAAGTTAGCATTTTCCTAAACTGATCATGTATTTCCAATAATACTTACCTCTGCCGACACTATAACTATTTCTCGATCTCCAGAGTTTCCATTCTTTGCCCACCTGAGCACTGAAAATGCTTGCTCCAGTCTTTTTACCCCACTCGAATGCACTCGGCAAATTCTGATTTGCAAAATTCTCCACCAACTTCAATGCATCCTCTATCTAGGTATCGTATATATAAGCACCTCATTCAGATAACGTAATCACTTTTTCAAGACATAAACTGGCTTTTAGTGGGGAGGTATGGCAGGAGAGTGTCAGCGGAGGTAAGTATTATTACAAATACATTTTCAATTTAGGAAAATGTTAATTTCCAAACATACCTCCACTGACAATATAGCTAGAATCCCACATACAGAAGGTGGAGAGGCCAGTGCAGGGATGAACCATACAGAAAGTGTCTGTATAGAACAGAAGTGTACCAAGATACAGATGGTACAAGAGTGGGGGAACTGTGACATCCAGAACAGGTATACCTTTACCAGGAACTCAGTTCCTATATCAAAGGTGGAATAGAATACGAGTAATTGCCAGTATAGGCCTGCCCCAACCAGATAGATGAGGTTCCACAACTTGTGGTTGGAATTAAGGGGTCATCCTACATTGGTAGCTAAGGCTATTGGCCTGCAATATTATGTATACTTTTAATTGGATCCCAATCTGTAGCCACAGGATGATGCATTTCGTACCACTGGAATCACAACGAGAAAGTAAGCAACCCTGAAGGGGACAAACTTTCTCCTCCACCTGAAGAAGTCCAAAAGGCAACACCCCAGGCTCGGAATGACGAAATAGCGTATGCCTTACTCAACCAAAGGAACAGAACTTATCCGGTCTAGAATTATGAACATTCATCCTCACTCCCCAACTAAGTGAGCAAGGAGTATTCAGCTTGCCCCTGGAATTATGGAGAGGATGTGAAACCTGTGCTCAACCAAGGACCTATGGTGGACCACATTGCATCAGAATTATAAGGAGATTGTGGATCTCTTTCCATGAACAATATACGAAACTGAGATTGATCGGTCATGCACTCCCCAACCAGGTAGCTTCGTGTCAAACCTGAACCGGAATTATGAGTAGGCTCCTTCTGAGGATGGTGCTACTCCTACTGACATCTGGGAAAAACATCTAGGGACCGGAGTATGGAGGGCCCCCAACTTTACCCTCTTCTCCAAGAGTGGAGGAACACACTTGAACACTCTGGAGAAAAAGCCTCTGTCTGCAACCCCAGTGCCAGGAAACTGGGGTGGTAAGAACTTCCAAGCTCCACCAGTACAGTCGGGGGGGGGGGGGTAATATGCACTGGGGAGTCTTGAGAAACAGTGCAATAGGTGAACCAAATTCCCTAAATTTTTAAAAGTAAGCTGACCCTGATTTGTTCAACCTGAAGATCAGCAGGAAAGGGCAGGATCCCCTTTAGTGATACTCATGATAGTCCATGAGTGACAGTTCATAATAATAAGGTAATACCATCCAGCAGGTGCCTAGATGGTCTTATGGAACCACCCCATTTCAACAGAGCCTGTTGCAACTTGTAGTAATTATAGTGCTAGTACGGAATTGAAAAATGAAAGAATACCTGCCTGGGCAACACTTGCCACAGAATGAGAAATTGATCCTGGATAATAATAATAATAAAAAAAAGTATATGACTGAGGAAAATACTCACCTCTGGTGAAAATCTAACAAATGTAGCCAAAATAGCTACAGAGGTTAGTCAAAACCGTCAAAAGAGGAAACTGACAGATCATGTAAGGAATAACACAAGAAAGTATTAGGAGTAATCCACATACCAGACTGCACAATGACTTCTACAGGGCAATTCAACCGGGCGGCTATTGACAGAGATATGACAAATCTGGTGAGATATAACATGCAAAAGATTCCTCTCCTGTAATGATAATACATTATACGCCATGTGAATCAATTTACAAAGCCACCTCGTTAGGGTAATGGGAGATATGTAATTGGAAAAAGAAGGATTCCAATGAAGGAAAAATGATTCCTACTACCTTGAGTTAGTACGATCTACATAATGCTTGAGGGCCCTAACAGGACATAAAAAAACAGTCAGGACTGAAGTAGTAATACAGGTGAGCTATGGTTGGCAAATGGATTGGTGATAAGGATCTTTCCCCCTTCCCTAGCTGTCAGAGTCTTGGACAGAAAGGACTTACTGAGGTAAAGCAGGACAAATGTGAAATGATGAAGAGTCTGAGGCACAAGAATTGCAAACAACTCCAATCGACAATGTCCACAAACCCATAACAACAAAAAATACAATTTAAGATAAAAAATGAAATAAAATCCCAATTTGATAATTGAAAAGGTCATTTGGGTTGAAAAATACAAAGGGTTTTGAGTAGACCTGATAGTACTCAGGATTAAAAAATACCTTCCGATATTTAGAATACCTGAAGGATGCTGTATATAAAGCAACTGTAAGCTAATCAAGACCCCTCTCAAATACCCAAGTCATAAAACAAGATACGATAGATACTTTAGGATAAAGAGGGTTGAAATTCCTTTTAAAACACTACTGATGATAAGTATTCCATTTCCATTGATAAATGGCTGTGGTTGGCCTACAGAGAGATTTAGTTAAATATAAAGAAACTGTAGAAGTTAAACCCTTATGTTGAGCAAAGGACCACCTAACTTCCCAGCATGAAAATTGAGTTTATGAACACCTGGGTGGAGAATGTCTGATCAAGGCTGTCTCGAAGACTGCCAATGTGAAAGAGGTAGAGGAGGACAAACCTGCAGATACTGAAGAAGTGGAAACCATGTTTGAACTGGTTAATGTAGTGCAACCAGGATAAGTCGATAGGGAATGGAGCAAACCATAATAAAAAAACTAGGACTATAGCCAAATCATGGAAAGGAATACAGATGTACACCTGTCCAGTCCTGACTGAACACTCTACTGTCAACGCTTGAGGATGAGGTATTAGAGACCAAAACTGAGAGCAAATCACTGAAAAACCTTGTGATGTATCATCCATTTTGTTGGAAGAATCTGGTTGGATGAAGACAAGTGATTTGCAATTAAATTCATCACTCCTGGAACATGACATGCTTAAAGACTGATACGATAGGAATGAATCCAGTAGAAAAGATCCAAGATACAAAAACAACATCTCGAGAATGTGTGCCTCTATCACTAGAAATCTGAGATACCACTATAGAATTGTCAGAATGTAACATGACAATTTTTTCCTTCAAGAGAGACAGACCTTAAACCATTGCCTGATGTACTGCAACGAGTTTGAGAACATTTATATGAAGGGTAGACTCAACTTCAGTCCAAATACCCTGGAACACCTGACCTTGAAGATAAGTTCCCTGTCCCTGAAGAGATGCATCTGTGAACAGATGGATCTTGGAATGAGGTGGTGAAATGGGTACCCCCAATAATAGTGTTGTTCTGATCCAACCACCATTTGCAATCGATAAGGTTGCTCCTGAGTAATGAGACACAATGATCCAAAGGATCGGAAAGCATGATTTG